TCAAAACCCAAAAATACAACAAACACATAATTTTCACATTCAGAAGGACCGCGGCTAATTTTAGCAACACCACCTTGTAAAAATTCGCCTGGTGGTGCACATTTTACAAGTGAAACTTCGCTTTTGTGTGTTCTTTGCTGGTTCTTTGCGCCGCCCGGTGTTCCGGTGTTGCTGGCGCCATTGCGTCACTGAGTTGTGAAAATCGGTTTCGGCGCCAGTAACTCAGCTCTCGGTATCAGCGTAATGGCGCGGCGCCGCACTGTGTTACCCACGGCTACAGTGTATAGCGACCAACATTTTTCACAGAGAGCCAGAAACTTCAACATTCCAAAAAATTGTAATAATTCCTGGAATGATGTTTAGTATGTAAAACAAATTTCGGAAGCAAGAAATNTTCGCACAGAGAAACTGTTGTATCATCAATATGATCTTTAAACCATGTCTCAGTGATACATATCAGATCGATGTTCAAACTATCAAAAACAAAATTTAAATAGTCAATTTTCTCAGCATTCAAACTTCGCGCATTCAAGTGACAAACATTGAACCCATTGTAGCGATTGGAAATTAGTTTAAGCATTCCTCTTNGAGCCAGAAACTTCAACATTCCAAAAAATTGTAATAATTCCTGGAATGATGTTTAGTATGTAAAACAAATTTCGGAAGCAAGAAATATTCCTTAATTGCTTAATTTGGGCTCTTTTAAATTTTTCCACAGAAAAATTTTTAGCCCTAATCACTTTTGCAAGAAAGTATAAATTGTTTTCCAGTATAATGCATTTTCTTAAGGACGCAGGTACATAGCTGTAACACATACATATGTATGTATTTGGGCTCTATTAAATTTTTTGCGTAAGAAAGTAGGTAAACAGGGTTCTCCAGTATCTATTCATGTATATAAAGATAGATGTTGGTTAAGGCATTTAAATGTTTCCTAGGTAGGTATGTTAGTTAGGGTTTATTTACTGAGATCAGAATATGCAAAATATTGTGGGCCTATTTTAAAAATATTAAAAATTTAAACAGTTCCGCAGTAAGCATGTGCACTCTGCAGTGATAAGTAGAGCAAAATATAATAACTGTTAATATTACTATAAAGGTTTTCAGAGCAATATCGTGTTGTAGTTAAAATACAATTAAAATTTGTTCAATATTGTGGCAATTTATTTGTGCAATAAAGTTTTGCTGATTGACATCTTATAAATTCAAACGCATTTTTCACGTCGTTCCCGTACAATTATGCGTCCAAAGCGACAAGCCGATCTACACCTCAAGCACGGAAGAAAAGAGCATTACGAGCCTCAGAATCAGACGAGCAACGAGCATTAAGGCTAGAAAATCTTCGAGTACATGCCGCTGAGACCCGTTCGTCTGAATCATCTGAACAACAAGAAGTGAGGTTAGAAACTGATCGAATACGTACTACTCAGGCCCGTTCGCCTGAGACAACTGAACAACGGGAAAGAAGGCTGCAAAATGTTCGAATAAGCACCGCTCGATCAAGACGAACCCTGCACGCTGATTTAAATCTTGGGGCATTCCATTATGACAGTAATAATATTACAGTCTTCATCCAAGTGTCAACATTGGAAAAATTGATAAAATTTGCATGTATTGTAGCGTCCTCAAATTTAAGAACGAAACGCCAGGAATGTGCTGCGCCAGTGGAAAAGTTAAACTGCCAGAATTACCTCCACCACCCGAACCACTATCAACGTTGCTATCAGGTGTTACACGTGAGTCAAAGCATTTCTTGGAAAACATCCGCAAATACAATTCATGTTTTCAAATGACATCGTTCGGTGCAACGAACATCGTGCGCGAAAATTACATGCCAACATTCAGAGTCCAAGGGCAAATTTATCATCGTGTCGAATCGCTTCTACCATTGCCGGACGCAGATCACAAGTTTTTTCAAATTTATTTCATGGCCAACAGTGATGAACAAATTGAACAATGATGCCATTGCAATGAGGGCACTAGACGAGAAATCGTGGCTGCGTTACAAGCCCTTTTCGATCAACACAATGAATTAGTTCAGTTGTTTAAAACCGCCATTTAAGGAATGCCAGCCGATGACTACGCAGTTGTAAGTCGAGCAACCCGTTGCCCAACACGAAAGACAGTTCAATGCACCAACAATCAATGAAGTGGCGATAGTGATAGTTGGCGAAGAATTCAAATCGCGCGACATAATTCTTCATCGTAGAAATGGTAACGTTCAGCGAGTATCCGAAACGAATCGCTCATACGACGGATTGCAGTATCCGATTCTGTTTTGTCGAGGAGAAGATGGATATCATTTCAACATCAAAATGAAAAATGCACAAACAGACGAGGAAACGAATAAGAAAGTCAGTGCCATGAATTATTATTCGTATCGATTGATGATTCGTCAAGACGCTGAGAACCACATTCTGAAATATCGACAATTGTTCCATCAATACATCGTCGACATGTACGCGTAGATTGAAACCGAACGACTCCTATATATTCGATTGAATCAAACCGAGTTGCGTTCTGAAGAGTACATCCATTTACGAGACGCAATCGTTATTGATGGTAACGTGAATCCAAACGAATTGGGAAGAATGGTCATATTACCGTCTACATTCGCGGGCAGTCCACGGCACATGCATGAATACGCACAAGATGCGATGACATACGTTCGCGCATATGGCCGTCCAGATTTGTTCATCACATTCACGTGCAATCNCGACTCCTATATATTCGATTGAATCAAACCGAGTTGCGTTCTGAAGAGTACATCCATTTACGAGACGCAATCGTTATTGATGGTAATGTGAATCCAAATGAATTGGGAAGAATGGTCATATTACCGTCTACATTCGCGGGCAGTCCACGGCACATGCATGAATACGCACAAGATGCGATGACATACGTTCGCGCATATGGCCGTCCAGATTTGTTCATCACATTCACGTGCAATCAATATGGGATGGAATTAAAGAACTTCTGTTAGCTGGACAATCATCTTCGGACCGCCCTGATATTACCGCACGCGTATTTAAACAAAAATTTAAAGCTTTGATGGATTTTATTAACAAGCATCACGTTTTTTGAGAGACACGATGCTGGATGTATTCCATTGAATGACAGAAAAGAGGATTGCCACATGCACATATTTCGGTTTGGTTAATCAACAAAATTACGCCAGATCAAATTGACCAAATCATCTCAGCAGAAATACCAGATAAGGACATTGATCTAGACTTATTCGACGTCCTTACCAAAGATATGATCCATGGTCCATGTGGCGCATTCAATTACAATTCTCCATGCATGTCTGATAGGACATGCACGAAACGATACCCCAGAAACTTGGTTTCTGATACCATCACTGGCAATGACGGATACCCACTGTATCGTCGACGATCAGTTGAGGATGGCGGCAAATCCATCGTTCTGAAAGTACGAAACGTTGATGTTGAAGTCGATAATCGTTGGGTTGTGCCATGTTCACCGTTGTTCTCAAAGGCCTTCAAAGCACACATTAATGTTGAGTATTGCAATTCATTGAAGTCGATCGAATACATTTGCAAATATGTCAACAAAGGAAGCGGCATGGCAGTCTTCGGAGTAGGGAATGTGGCCGCACAGCTCGATGAAATCAACCAATACCAACTTGGACGCTACATTAGCAGCAATGAAGCACTATGGCGCATCTTATCATTTTCAATCCATGAACGACATCCAACAGTAGTACACTTAGCGGTACATCTCGAGAATGGACAGCGCGTGTACTTCACAGCAAATAATATATGTGCAAGAGCATTGGTTCCACCGGCAACAACTTTAACTGAATTTTACTCACTGTGCCAGGATGATATTTTTGCAAAGACTCTACTTTATTCTGAGGTACCGAAATTCTACACATGGAATTCAACGTCGCAAACAAGGTAAAGCAGTTGAAGGACATCCCAATTTGTATTCCTGTGACGCATTGGGTCGTCTGTACACTGTTCACCCGAACAATACAGAGTGCTTCTATCTGCGATTGCTGTTAATCAATGTACGTGGACCGAAATCCTTCCAAGATTTAAGAGCAGGCAACGGTCAGCTGTGTGCCACTTATCGCCAAGCTTGCCAGGAGCTAAATATTCTTGAGAATGATGCACATTGGGACACTGCGCTCGCAGATGCATATAATACGGCGCGACCACAGCAAATTGCGCACGTTATTTGCCGTAATATTGACAACCTGCTTCCCATCTAATCCAAAAGAACTTTGGGAAAAATACAAGGACTACATGAGTGAAGATATTCTACATCGTTTGCGCGCTGCGAACCAAAATCTGGACATTCAATTCACACCAAACGTGTATAATGAGGCATTGATTTTGATTGAAGACGTATGTTTGGCAATCGCTAACAAAGCACTTTTGCTACTGGGAGCAGGCAGAACCGACCAGCGAACGACATTTTCGATCGTGATTTGCAACGAGAAACACACTTTGATTCTGACGAACTGGAAACATTTGTTCAGACAAATCTTCCGCAGTTGGTTCCAGAACAACGCATTGCGCATGACAGAATTATGCGTGCAATCACAGAACAAAGCGGTGGACTGTTTTCCATAGATGCGCCTGGTGGTCCAGGCAAGACCTTTCTTCTTTCACTCATTTTGGCAGCCATACGATCACACAATAATATTGCGCTGGCCATTGCATCATCTGGAATTGCGGCAACTCTTTTGGATTGTGATCGAATAGCGCATTCAGCATTGAAACTTCCGTTGAATTTGCAAAACACTGAGGCACCAACATGCAACATCAGTAATAACTCTGGATGGGCAAAGTACTCCAATCGTGTCAAATTATCATATGGGACGAATGTACAATGGGCCGTATGAATAAAAACTAAGCAATTGCTTTTTCTTAAAATTTCATACCTTTTACTCTAATTTTGTTTGAATAAATTAAGTAAAAGATTTGAAATTTTCAGAAAAAGCAATTGCTTATTTTTATTCATACGGCCCAATGTCTCATAAGAAAGCATTGGAAGCGCTTGATCGTACACTGCGAGATTTGAGGGGAAACACACGGATCTTCGGTGGTGCACTCATTTTATTGTCTGGTGATTTTCCACAAACACTGCCGGTTATACCACGTTCAACACCCGCTGATGAACTTAATGCATGTCTCAAATCATCACTTTTATGGCGTCATATACAGAAATTGACTCTGAAAACCAACATGCGTGTACAACTACAACGAAATACATCGGCTGGTAATTTTGCAAAACAATTAATGGATATTGGAAATGGGCGAATGCAAATTGATGATTCTACACAATGTATCACCTTGCCAGCAAACTTCTGTAGGATCACAGAAAGCATAGCCGAATTGGTGCAAAAGGTATTCCCAAAGATTGCACTGCTATATTAGCGGCTAAAAACACCGATGTCAATACCATCAACTTCACTATTCAGAATGGAATACCCGGCGAAACGACAATATATAAGTCCATCGATACTGTGGTGAATCAAGACGAAGTTGTCAACTATCCAACTGAATTCTTGAATTCGCTTGATTTGCCAGGCATGCCACTGCACGTTCTAACATTGAAAATTGGCGTACCCATCATTCTTCTTCGAAGCATAAGTCCACCACGACTTTGCAACGGAACCAGACTCTCAGTCAAGAAAATGATGAACAATGTTATCGAAGCAACAATTTTGATTGGAAAATTCAAAGGCGAAGTCGTACGGTTGCCGCGCATTCCAATGATCCCGACAGATATGCCATTCGAATTCAAACGTTTGCAGTTCCCGGTGCGACTCGCTTTCGCAATGACTATCAACAAAGCACAAGCACAATCGTTGCAAGTGTGTGGATTAAATTTGGAGAATCCATGCTTCTCAGCAGCGCTATGTGGCCTGCTCACGCGTCGGAAAACCTTCCGATTTATTCGTTTACGCACCAGATGGAAAAACAAAAAATATTGTGTATCCCACAGCACTTCAATAAATATCGAATTGAAACGAAACGCTGCAATGTCAGAATTTTTTCAAAATGAACAAAATCAATAAAAGGACTCAAAATGAATTGAATATTTGTGTAATGTCTTTCCTTCATATTTATTTTAGTTGGTGGCGTAGCAACGCGCGCAAGGTACAGCTAGTTTGAAATAAAATTCTTTGATAAAAATGTATCAGCCTTGTCTTCAGTTTCGCCTCGGATTGCCGACCGTACTAAATATATAGTATTGTACTATTTTTTGGGTCTGCGCACTATGAACTGTTGGAAAAAAATATAGTATGCAAAAATACTATATTTCTTCAATTATAAAATAAATATACTTCAGTCATCTGTAAGAAAGAAATGTTTTAAAATGGATGACATTTATACTGAAGTATCAATATTAAAAAATATATACTTTAAAACAAACAGATCAAAAAGGGCAATATTTTTAAAAATACTTAGAAAGATTTACCAAATTTACTTAAAATTATTTCGTTTATGCTCTGTAACTTCGGCATTCAAAGAAATAGTTTTTTAATTTAGATTTTAAAATTGTGAGATTAGAGAAATAAAGCGAATATCTCACTAATAAAAAATGTACATTTGATTTATATTAAATATTGATAGCGATAAGGCATATGATACTTGCAAAGAAATTTTTTTTTTATACAGGAAATGTACACTTAAAAAGCATTTTTAATTTTTCTTAAAAAAAAATATATTGTATTTGAACTGTACTATATGTTTTCTAATTGTTTTAAAAAGTACTATAAATTTCTTAGAAAATGTTGGCAACCCTAGTTTCGCCCGAAAAAAAATCACCCGAAAATGTTTCATCCGCCCATAGTAAATACACGGGAACAAAAAACTAAAAGTGCACCAAGGCATAACAAGGTAGAAGTGATTTCGACATTTCTCTCTTTTGAACTGCGACTGAAATGTCAACTCTTAACCCTATACTATTCAAAATTTTTTTTTTATATAAATTTTCAATTGGGAGCTGTGCGACTGATTTTAAATACATAATAAAATGAAAAGGAATTGCGAGCGGTGCGTTGTGTTTGTCAAGAGCCTGGACAACAAACTTGCGCGCTATTTTAAACCTTCGAATTGTCAAGTGAAGCGACAACGGTGGGCAAATTGCTGCGATGTTTCATTAGGAGACTCTTCACGTGTGTTCGTGACTTTATTTGTTGCCTATCGCAGCCGAGTATGGCTAAGTGGACGCGTTTGGTCCCAGGTGCATATACATATCATATACATATGTACATTAGAGTGGTCCAAAATAATAAAGTCGGAATTTTAATGCCGCCACCCCCTAGAATTGTTCTGAACCGAAAATAAATATACCCATATTTTTTCATTTTGAAAACAAAAAATATTTAGGGAGTGCTCACAGCGTTCAAAGTTTTCCATGTATTTTATATGGGGAAAAAACAAGTTTTCGTAAAAATGGTATAAAACTCTTGAAAATCAATATTTTTCAATCGTAAAACCGTGGTTCTCTTCAGGAGACTTCAAATATTAATATCCAATTATTTTTTTAACCATTTTATGATTAACGATTTTTTATTGGTCCCCCCATTGCATTTTCTAGGACCTATAAAATATAGTTACCATGAAAAAATTGTTAAAGGAACAATTGGGTATTATTACCGGGAATGTCCTGAAGATAAGAAAACCTTTCCGATCGAAAAATATTGCTTTTCAAGAATTCTACACTATTTCTACGAAAAGTTGTTTTTTCCCCATATAAAATACATTGAAAACTTTGAGCGCTTTGAGCACACCCTAATTTGTTATTTTCTTTCAAAATAAAAAAATAGGGGTATATTTTTTTGGCATAGAACAATCCTAGGGGCTGGCGGCTTTAAAAATGCGACCTTATTTTTTTTACATACATTTTTGGACCACTTTAATGTACATGGATAGGCCAAATTTCAAATAGTGGTCTGATAAAACCTAAACCAGTATTCCTTGTTGACATAAAGAAACTGAAGGTAATTTTTAATAAATTTAATGGAAACGAAATTTCGAATACCAAAAATTTAATAGCTAAATTATTGAAGTTAAGTTCTGATGTAAATTTAGAAGAATCAAACTTTTTTTAATGTCTAATATACTTTAGAATTAAGTATTTGAATAAAAAAATAAATGCTCAAAACCATTGGGATAGTGCAGGCAAGAAAATTTTCAAAACGATTTTATAAATGAGTGTGTTTCATTTAGTATATAATTTTGTGTAAGTATGTATTTCCACATTTACATTAAACAGAAAATTCAATAAATAAAATGAAGCTGATTCTAATGAAATTTTAAATATTTTCATATTTACAAAAAACTTTCATTTCAAAGATGTTGAGTTCTATCAAATGTGGTAAATGCATAACAGAGGGTTAATTTCTTTGTTTACATTTTTTGACATTACAGTCAGGTATGAGAGAGCTCGACTGAATTGTCACTTCTACCATGTTGAATATGCCTTGAAGTGCACCAGTTCAGAGAAAATCAGCGTTATTATTTTCCCCGAACGGTTAACTTTTCACTTTACGCTTTCGTGTATTCACTATAGGCGGATGAACAATTTTCGGGTGAATTTTTTTTTTCGGGCGAAACTCAGGATAAAGAGCGAAATACACCACACAAGCGGCTTGTCAAACATTCTTCAAACCTACTTTTCCCATTTCGCCATACACCATGCAAACATGACTCGTTCAAGCAAAGAATTTTAGTTTTCTTCCAGTTCGCAATGCTAAATATTATGGTTTTCATTCATTTTCCTCTCTTACGTCCTTACTCGGTGAAAATTTCGTTGCGAATGAGGCGATTTTGCTATACACAACGCAAGCGGTTTGATCAAACATCAGCATGGCGGCCAGAAAATCAAAAAATTTTGATTTTTGCTCAAATTTCCCTCAAGCGGTTTGTCAAACCTTCAAACACCCCCATACACAGCACAAATGGCTTGAAGCAAAGGGAAATTTCGCTTGGTTTGTCAAACCGCTTGTGTGGTGTATTTCGCTCTTAAGGCTGAATAGATGATTCAATAATACAAGGTTAGATAATTATTGACAGCTGCGGTTTGACACTCCCTTACAAAAGGTTGCATTTACGAAGGCCAGAGAAAGGGCAAGAATGCAATCCCTTGTTTCGAAAATGGTAGTAGAGAAGTACGCAAAGTAGGCAATTAGTAGTGAAGTTCCTTTCGTAAATTCTAATGTATGTAGGAAATCTGGCATTTTAAACGAAATGTTGAACGTAATATTGATATATCTACGTGAATTACGTAATTTATATGCTATTTAGCCGTATAAAAACTGCAAAATGACTCAAAATTAAAATAAGACTACTATGAGATTGATGTAAACGTCCATTGCTTATGTTTTCATCAGTTAAATATGCTTCATATGCATATACAAATAAACATATTGTACAAAAGCTTTTACTTTTATTTCACCCCAAAGCTACACTGTTTCCATGTAAATTTGCAAAGAAGCAACACGGTGCCACAGCTAAGGGAGCGGTGCGAGAGAGACAACTGTCAGTTTATCGAACCTTGTATTATTGAATCATTATTATTATGTATTATTGAATCATGGGCTGAATATATTTGGAAACGGCAATTCATCCAATTAAATGAAATGCGACATAATAAAATTATATACATAAAATAATTTTAAATAAATGTAGTAACGAAACATAACATACTTGGAGGAATAACGTTTGGGAATAGTTTCCCCTGCCATTGAATTTAGAACTAAAAAAAAACACGAGCTTTTACCCCCGGTTTGTGTTAACCGGACATTGAACAAACGGCCCTAATTTGCCGCTGGCTCAACTCTCGGTTAAAAAATTCTATCCGAAGTTTTGGATCGCATGTAAGATAAAATTTCCAAAACTTGGGTTAAGTTTCAAATGTCGGAAGATGAAGCAATGAAGTGCAAAAGAGATTTTTATGAACGAACTGGTTTTCCTGGAGTCATTGGGTTTGTAGACGAGTTTCTTTCTTGGAGCAAAGGTTTCTTTAAATGCAATAATTGCTAAATTTGTACTCTTTTTTATACATAGATCTATAATCATAAGATGCGTGCATATAAGATGTGTAGGTGCCAGACATCTTAGCTCTGGTCATGACTGCTTAATTTGGAATACCAGCCGAGTAAAGTTTCTAAAATAAAAATATGAAATAACAAATTAAATAAAATTTGCTTTTCACTTAAGACCTCTATGTCGAACATATCGATGTTTATGAAGGATGCACTGATGTTTTCAACAAATTATTGTTAAGTCTAATTTTTAGCATAATAATAACCAGAACACAAAAACAATTATTTATATATATTTTATCTGCTGGAGTATTGTTGCCTCAGCCTCTAAAAACAACCGTATTGGCAAGTAGAGCATAGCGATTTTGTATAAGCACGGAAACGGTGAACACATGTTTGTGGTTTCCAAATGTCGCGTCCCATGCTATTTTCCATCTCAGATTCGTCAGATGATTGATTTCTATTAACCGAAACATACCAGGATAGATATGAATTGCTAAAGATAAATAGTGAAAATGCATAGCCACTTACCTTTGCCTGTGAAAAACATGCATAATTTTTGTAGAGTAGAATCAATCAATGATGCAAATGGCATACAGATAGCGGTGGCTTAAACCAACTACGGCCACCAATCTGTGGTTTGGAGAAATGTAAAGGCCGGTGCAAACCTCCAAGCAATGTACATACATTGGCAGATGCATAACGGGGTGTTTACATGATTTCACAGGCGATTAGTTTAAATAAAAATTGGGTGCTGACCAACTTCATTTAACGGGATTAGCTGGAAAGCCGTTAACACAAGGCGATTGGTGCTTTCAACTAAAAGTTGCCTGGTAAAATCGCCTCATACAGACAACCAGTAAGTTTCATCAGTGAACGATGTATCGTTCTTTTTGGGGTCTGAACATCGATGTTAAACTATGGATGTTTATGAACGATATATCGATGTTTGGAAACATCGATATTGAAATTGCATCCTTACTTTAAAGATACCCCTCAATGGATTCCAAATGGCCGCATTGTTGCAGTGGCTTTTGAATTTGTAGACCGAGCCCTTGTTGAAACCGTTGGAGTATCATCTTCGACGTTTTCTATTTCGGAGGAGATAATGGCTACATTTGGTATTATGTCCGAACTCGTATAAGGCTTTTCATAGTCGATTAGAAGTGCCTCAATTTCATCTGCTTCAGCGAATCCCAACTCATTGCCTTTTGGGTTTATTTTACACGCAAAATATTAATATATTCGCAAAACTATGGATAAATTATAGTAATATAGTGCGTACTTAGTTTATCTCTCTGACGTCAGGGTATTTTTTAAAAGGACTTCGAAATTTAAAAAATATGACTATTTCGAAAAAATTATTTAATTAATTTAGGACAATGTAGGATAAAAATAAAGGTATCATATAAAAGAAAAAATTCGGTAGAATTATAACAGAATACACTTTTTGCTGCTATATGATAGTTTAGCGACGCAATAAAAAATCCGCCCGTTAGCCCGTTAGCAACCAATTGCAATTTCGAGACGCATTTATCGAAGGCCTTGCGAAATCAATTTTTGGGTTGAGTTGTTTACTTTTTTTCAGCTTCATTTAAGTTATTGCCGCTCTGCATATCCTTAAGCTGAAATTAGTCAAGAACGTAAACCTACCGGTACGTAAACCCGAGTCAGCTGACACGATCTGTCTTACCAAAGCGCCATGTAAATGAAAACTCAACACCGCAGAATTTTTCTGTAGTTGTAGCCCGTAGCGCAGAAATCTGCGGAATTTAGTTTTTCCGTGTCAGCTGATTTCTCCTTCTTTAGATGGTTGCCACTTCGTCAGTTTTGCAGATGGTAAAAAAGTTATAAGTTCCTATTCGAAATATGTTTAAAATATTTGAAATTTACTATTAAATAAGGTTTTTGTTGAAAACTAAGTAGTTTATATTTAGTTACAATCTATTATAGCACGAAAAATTGTGGTTGAAAGGGTAAGTTTATGAAAAGGCATTGAAGAGTGGCGACACTGTAGTAAGCAACACTGAGGGCTCCAGTAATCGACAAAATTCTGCGTATACAGACTGCGTTTAAGTATACGTTCTGCGTTCTCGACTAATTTCAGCTTTATTATCCGATTCAACTAGAAACTTTGTTGTTGTAGTGTCAGTACTAAGTTTTTTATCAATATTTATTTCGTGTTCGATATCATTTGATGCAGATGTTTCATCATCATCCATAAAATGTTCATTCCATTCTGGTGATACTTTTATATACTCTACGTGATCCTTGTAAACAAATAGAAAATAATTATTGTTTAATTATATCTAAATCGTATTTGATATACCATATCTACAGTATCTGGCATCTTAGTTACTTCCATTAGCTCTTCATGTACTGGAACCCATTCAAAAGTGTTGGCTATACTTTCTATCTTCACTTTTTCCGTTTGTGTGCAACGTAATTCATTATCAGCCCTTCTCGCCTTTTCAATAAAATCATAAACGTCTTTAAGTTTTTGGGCACAATCAAGGCATAGATATTGCATCCGGGCATCATCGAGTTCATTTGGATCATCTTTCAAACTTAAATTAATTTGTGTACATTTACAAAAACACTCTTTGTATGATATATCCAAAGAGTCAACAGGCTGATACCAATCTAGCAGATGCACCCGATCTTCCGGCGACAAACAGGCACGGCATATATTTGATAAATCCATCTGAACTTTTCACCACTGCCGTATTGATAATTCAAGTCTTAGTCGGTAAAAAATAGTTTTGTAGAATGTGTGATTATATATTGGTAAGACAGAACAATTTGAAAATAAGGATGTCGAAAATATTTCGATATAAAAAATGGTACAATTTTAATGCTTTTAAAAGTCGACTGTCCGACAAATAGATTTCTTCGGTAGATATAGTGATGTTCCGATATCAGTGAAAACTATCTCCTGAAATTGAATCAAAATAAATTAAAATGTACTTTAATAAATTTAAGGAAAAATATTGTTATAAACTTACAAACTGGTCATAGGCAAAAGATTGTTTACTTTTTACCGCTCTTCTTCTGCCATTGTTTACTATTCACGGTGCATTATCAAACGTCAAAATTACTGGCCTACTACTATTTCAAGCAGAAGAAAGAACACGAACATTTTCTTGTGCATTTTCTTAAGAGCTGGATACTAAAGCCCTGTATGCAGCTCTCAAGAAAACGGTCAAGAAAAAATTGCCATTATTTCGTGTGTGTGTCCAAGGAATTTTGACATTTTTGATACTTCACAGCCTGTTGCCTCACTCTTTCCTCAAGAAATAATGGAACGGGCAT